TTTTTTGGTAAATAGTAAATTTTCAGACAAAAATCTTCAAAAAGAACATACACGATAAATATTTATATTTGAACTAAAATTTTACATTTTAATTATATTATGATTATAATTGATTTTTTTCCATTTTAACTATATTAACTATCTAAATTCAAAATATTTTCTTTTAAAAAAATTAACAAAAAAATAAAATTTTAGACTAAAACAGAAAGATACACGGCCATGTAGAATTATACATGACTGTGTAACAACATGACCATATATAATTATACATTAAAATATATATGACCGTGTATAAATGTACATGGCCGTATATAAATGTACATGGCCGTATATAAATGTACATGACTGTGTAGTTTCTAGGTCAGCTGTCACGTCACTTCCGTTATGTCAACGTCAGCAATTTTCGTTAGTTTTTTTTTTTTAATTGTGGGACCAAAATTGATTAAAATTGTTTATAATTGGACTAAAATTAATTAAAATTGTTTATAATAAAACTAAAATTGATGACTTTTTAATATTGTGACCAAAGATTGATAAATTTTAATTATATTGAGATTAAAATTAATTTTTTCCCAATTTTTAAGTATTACGATACAATTTTTAATATATATTTTATCTTCTCACAAAAGTAAATATAAAATATAAAATATTATTTTTTATATTATCAATATAATTTTCTATCTAACATCTAAAAAATTTTCAAATTAAAACACTAAACAAACCAACCCTATTACATTACGTTACAAATTCTATAAAAATATACTACCTCCGTCGATCGTCAATCTACCAATTTGCATTTGACGTCATTATTTAATATATAAAAAATATTTTTATATTTATATAAATTTTTGTACAAATATCATTATATTAATATTATAGCACACTAATAAAAATATTTTTATTATTTTTTTTAATTTATACTATTTTTTATATAATAATTAATATTAAAAAATTAACATGAAAGAAATAAAAAGGTAAATTGGGGTGAACGGAAATAATATTACATTTCATAAAATATAATAACATAAGAAATATATATATATATATATATACAATATAAGCTATAGTAACTATTACTCTATATGTTTAAAGTTAATTGTTAATTTGTTATACTAGCAGCTCCGTCCAATAAATAGGTAAATTGTGGGTGGATGGAGGTAATACAATATTTTAAAATTTTATATTTTTATATTTAATTTTTATTTTAATAGTAATATAAGTAATATTTTATAAAAACTTAAAAGAAAATTATATAAAAAAATATCATTCACGTATATTAATTATTATTTTTGTTTTTATTTTTTTCAAAAAATATATCATAAACATTTGCAAAAATTGTCCTTTTTGTCGTCTGGTCATGCGTTGTGTTCAAACGATGGTTGTTCCATGTGCATAAGAAAGGCATAAATAATAACTTTTGCAAGTCGCATCTGATATATTTTAGCAGCAAAATAAAATGAAAAAAAAAATGATAATTGGATATAAATAGAGAATATTTTTGTAAATCTTCCTAAAATTTTAATATATTATTACAGAAATTGTAAAATAGCATAAGTAAAATAATATAACGATACAATATTCTAAATTAATATTATTTTTTTATAATATATTAGGAAAAATAAATACAGTATAACAATTAAAATCAAATATTAGTATATAATTTTAAGGAGTTTATTTTGTATCTATTTATTTAATTTTGATTGTTTTATTTTATAAAGATTGTAAAATAATATAATAAAAATAAAACTAAGGGTGTGTTTCTCAACCCTAGAGTTTTTACAATAAAAACTCCAAAACTAAGGTTGTCCATTGTCCAGTAGATATATTGTGGACAAAGTCTGTCTTGTAGGGTTTTTTTTTTTTTTTTTTTTATATATATATAATTAAAATATAATTTAATATTTATTATAGTTAAAGGATAAAAAATATATATACAATATATATAATTTTGTAAATAATAATATTTTTTATAATACAAATAAATAAAATTTAAATATATATATGTTATAATATAAATTCATAATTAAATCATACAATGTAAATTTTATCAATTAAATTTAATACACAATTATATTATTTTATTCATTATCCATCAAATCAATAAATATAAAAATTCTCCGAATCCAATCCAAACTTAAACACGGAAGAAACACATAAATTCAAACTCACCTTAAAATTTAAATTAAAACCAAACTCAAACCCAAATATTTCCAAATCATGTAAAAAAACACATCTTAAATAAACAATAACATTAAAATTAAATTTTAATTTTTTTTGAAAAGAAAATAACTAAGTTACTGAGATATAATTTAAAAATTAAATATCTCAATCTAACTAAATACTACTCTCTCCCAAGCAATAGGAAAATTTGTGATGTGCACAAAAATTGAATAATAGTATTATATTGATAGTAGTCTTAAAAGTATTAAATTAATATACCGTAAAAACTGGAGATAATTTTGTAAAAAAATAGAGAGATAATTACAAAAATGAAGTGAGTATTATTTTGGGAGTGACCTAAAATAATTCCGTACGCGTATAAACCCGTGCGACGCACAGTTTGTATAAATTGTTGAAATAATATTAAATAAAATAATAATTATATTGACAAATATTTTGTAGAAGGATACAAATATTTTTAAGACTAATCAATAATTAATACTAAATTTATCATTTGACGAATTTTTTTTATTGTATCCACGATGATATAATTAGTACTCCCTCCGTCTCAGATACCATGTCCACGTTGCCGTTTCTGTCCGTCCCATATACCATGTCACTTTCCTTTTTTTGGAAAATGATTACACACTTTAATCTCATTTTAAATTTTTAAATTTTATTTTTTTTTTTAATTTTAATTAAACTAATTAGTTATCTTAATCTTAATTTATAATTATTTATATAAATGATAATTATTTTAACTAATATATTCTTAATTATCTACTAATTACACCCCTCCTAAAATACCGTGTCTACAGTGTAGCAAACACGGTATTTGGGACGGAGGGAGTACTATACATAAACACAATTTATAACCGTGTTAATAAACTCACATACTAATTATATATTATTTCCTGTTATATATTTAAAAAATATATTAGTATGCTAAAATAATTAACAATGAAATAATTATATGTATATTTATATGTGTAAAATAATTATCTTTTTATAAATTATTTGTGTGATAATTTTAAATTCATACTTACGGTACTGTCTTTTATTGTCTAATTAGCATCATATCTACGTTAAAGATTGTATATAACATATAAATAAAAAAAATTACGATGTATTTATAATTATATAAACATACAATCTTTGTAAAATTAATTTCACTTCAAATATTTTAAACATCAATATGGTCAAATTCGTCCAATAATAAAAAAAAAACTTAACATTCATATAAAAAATTATAAATTGAAAAAATAAATTATAAAATTAGTATATATTATACAATAATTATATAACAATTTTTAATATAATTATTATATAAAAATATATAATATAATTAAATTATTTATACAAATTAGAACAACTACTAAAATAAAATAGAGAATTTGTTTTAAAAACTAATTATAAATTTTTTCTAAAATTGGTAGATAATAATTTATTTTAATTTTTTATTGCAAATTTAATAAATAAGCAAAAAGTAATGTAACTCAATCATTAATATTTATAGTTACCGAAATATCAACTATAATTATTCATTTTTTTTAAAAAAAATAAAATTAGACATTAACTTATAAATAAAAATATATATGTTCAAATATATATTAATTGAATATGATATACATGATAGATAAGAATTAACAATAAATTTACATATTAAATACAAATCAATAAAATAATACTTCATTTGTCCGCCTCTAAATGTCACATTTATATTTTACGTCATTGTATTAACATTAAAAATATATTTATATTTATAAAATATTTTGTACAAATATCCTTCTAAAATATTTATGTAATTTTTTCTTAATTTGTCATACATTTTGATATAATAATTAATATTCAAATATCAACATGCAAAAAGTAAATGAGATCCTTAAAACCGGATGTATGTAGTAGTACTTCATTCGTCCCGTCATATATGACCACTTTTACTTTTTTGTCCGTTCCACAAAATATGATATTTTTCTAGTAAATTTATCAATCTTAAATATACTTAACAAATATAAATCAATTTAATTAAATTTCTAATATTTTAAACATATGACCTACTCAAATTATTTATTTCTATTTGTCTCCCCAATTATATTTTCTAAAAAATAGTATTTATATTGTAAATATATTTTATTGAGACAATTTAAATACATATTTTAAATTTTTTTATCATTAAATAATAGTATTCACTATTTAAATAACTAATTTATACTGCATAAATTTTTGTGCCCAAACAAAATGTTACATCTTTGTCTGAACGAATGAAGTATATTTTAATACTTATGGAATTATCTTTTAAAAAAACAATGAGATAAAAAATTCATAAAAAAAAACTAATACTATAAGAATAGAATATAAGATTTAAATAATTTAAAAATTATTAATTATAAATATTATTAAATTTACTAATTTTTTTTAAAAAATAAATAAGATTTTGCAAAATATAAATAAATATCATATTAAATTATTTATACACTATAAAAAATATAAAAGTAAATACTGTGATTATAAATAATTCACAATCATATAAAAATAACGATAAAAAATTCTAAAACAAAAAAAAAATCAAAAAATAAAAAAAATCTCAAAATTTTTTGAAGAATTTAGAAAATGATCACAAATAGATAATATATAAAATATCATATTAAATTATTTATAAAATATAAAAAAATATAAAAATAAATACTGTGATTGTAAAATAATCCACTATCATATAAAAATGATTGAAAAAAACTGTAAAACAAAAAAAGAAAGAAATTGTAAAAAAATAAAAAAAATCTTATAACTCTCGTGATGAAGGATTTAAAGACTGATATCAAATAGACAATATATACATCACATAAATTGTACGCGCTGTAATAGAGGGAAGATTTGTGGAACAAGTAGTCTGATGCCATGCAGTAGCAGCTTAGCGACGCCGACGCGTTTGATGGAGAAAACGAACTTTCTGCAGTAGAAATGTTGAAGGTTTTACCCCCCAAATCCAACCCAATTTGTAAGAACGACTCCTCGTTAGCTTTCTTTTGCTCTTCTGGAGCGGTGTCTTCATCTTCCCCGTATCTGTCAAATTTAGTCAGCTCCATTCTCAATTCCTCGACCCCACAGCAGGCGCTCAGAATTTTCAATTCAGCTTCAAGAAATGTGAACCCCTCAAAAACCCTCAAACCCCATTCCGCCATTGTAAAGTTTCTTGTTGAGGCGAAATTGTATGTGCAGGCAAAGTGTTTGATAAAAGGCCTCATAGAAACTTTGGGGGAAACACGGAGGCCACACAAAGTGTGTTCCTCCATTTTCAATGCGCTTAGCAAAATTCAGGCGTCGGGGTGCAATCGTGATTTGTTTGGAGTGCTGATCGGTGCTTTATGTGAGAAGGGTTTAGCTGAGGAGGGGTATTGGGTGTATAGCAGGATGGGAGAATTGCCTGCAGTGCAGGCTTGTAATGCATTGTTGGATGGCGTTTTGAAGTCGGGTCGCATCGAATTCGTGTGGAAAGTATATGCTGATATGGTCTTGAAAGGCTTGTCGCCGAGTGTCGTGACATATGGAATACTGGTCAATGCTTCTTGTGAGGGGGGTGATATTGTGAAGGCACAGTTGTTGATTGAGGAAATGGCCCAGAAGGGATTGAAGACAGTTGTAGTTTACACAAGCTTGATTCGTGTGCTGTGCGCTGAGGGTCGAATGTCGGAAGCAGAGAGTGTTTTTGCTGGAATGCTGGATGCTGGTATGGTCCCGAATGTCTATACTTATTGTGCTTTATTGGATGGTTATGCTAAGATGGCTGATGTCGCGAAAGTGCGTAAATTGTACTATGAAATGTTGGATCGTCGCGTGCTGCCAAATTTAGTCACATATGGCATTCTTATATATTTGCTTTGCAGAGTAGGGGAGATCAGGGCAGTTAGGAGCTATTTTGTTCATATGGTGAAGTTAAATGCCGTTCCTAATGTTTACGTCTATAATTGTTTGATGGATGGGTTTTGTGAGGCTCGGGATATGTCTTCCGCCATGGTAATGTATAATGAGATGGAGAAATTGGGTATCTGCCCAGATGCTATCACCTATAGCATACTTATGAAGGGTTACTGTCGAATTGATCAAGTTGAAGAAGCAGAGAGTTTGTTATGCAAGATGAATGAAATGGGATTGACGGCGAATTCTGTGATTTACAATTTGCTGATCGATGGACATTGTAAGGCCGGAAACATGGTGAAAGCTGTGGAAATCTGTTCCGAAATGGTGAACAAGGGGATGCAGCCGGATATTGTTACTTTTGGTACGCTTATAAATGGTTATTGCAAAGCAGGACAGCTGGATGCTGCAATGGGGATATACTACGAAATGAAGATCAAAGGTTTCAACCCCGATGTTGTTGCATATACTGCTTTGATCGACGGGCACTTCAAAAATGGTTACACTAATGCAGCCGTTCAATTGTACAAAGAAATGATAGATGCTGGGGTTGCTGCCAATGTTTTCACAGTTTGTTGCGTGCTCGATGGGCTGTGTAAGGATGGACGAATCAATAATGCTGTCAATTTTTTCCTTGAACAAACTGGTTATGGACTATCAGCACATACCGGTCAGTCGGACAACAATTCAGGAGGCAACTGTTGCCCAAACAATGTCATGTACTCAATCTTGATCGGGAGTTTGTGCAAAAACGGAAAGGTATTTAAGGCTAGCAAGTTTTTTAGAGATATGCGAAGGAATGGTCTCCTTCCTGAATTTTCCAACTATATTGCTATCGTTCAAGGACAGTTTGGCGCTAAGCATGTCTTCCCTGTGATGATGCTGCAAACCGATATGCTGAAGAGCGGCGTATTGCCTAATGCAGCCATGTATAAGGTATTGAGTAGAGGCTATCGAGAAATGAATTATTTCGCATCAGCCCAGCAGTGTTGTAATGATTCTGAGAACTTGTGTATGGATGATCCCCGGGTTTCTGTCACATGATTGCACTGTAAAAGGTAAGCTAAAGTTCGGGACCGTAGATTAAACCGAGCAGCATTATGCCTCCGGTGATAATGGCATTTTAGGGACGGGTTCTTGGCTTGGTTATGTAAGATATACAGAAAACATGGAAATTTGGGATGCTACAGGTTTTCAGTTCGAGCCGGATTATCCCTAAATCCAATGTGAGTTTTTCTATATGAATTTAGTTCTCTGCTGCGATTCAATGAGAATGGATAAGAGGCTCATGGGATATTATTCAATGATGAAAATAACTGGTATAGAAATGGTAAAGTTTATACCTGAACGAAGCTAAGTAGAGATGGAACTATAAATGTACATTTGTTGACACTTAATTTCACGTAGTTGTTAATATATATTCGATGCCACTTCTTGTTGGTGTATGTGCTTACAACAGCTTGCTTTGGCTTCTGCACAATTGAAACTAGGAAATGGAAAAGTGAGGACGTGCACCCTCTCCAGATTCGTTCGAATTTGCAGGAGAGCTTAAGGTATGCTTCTGTTCTGCCAAAAGTGTTATTGAAATTTTAGTTCTGTGAAGAATATGCTCATCATGGCTTATATATATGAGTCTGAGATAAACTTAGGAAATGTTTCCATCGATCTTCAACTAAGCAATCGTAAATTTTATTTTATTTTTTGCTTGTTATATATTGATTTGTCCGACAGTTTGTTTTTGTTAGTTGGCTAGAGATGTTATTCAAGTACGATGTTCTGATATGATTGTGATATTTTATTTTTAAACTTGTTGCTCGGATCATACTACATACATGATTTTTTTATTCGATTTATTCAAGAAAAAAAAATGTAGTTTTGAACATCTTTATTCGGCCTAATTAATAGTACATTGATTGGGAATTCCCTTCATGAAAAATCTACAGATAGTGTCTTTGTGTTTGTGTTTTGTGTTGAAATAATGGTTGAATGTAATATTTTGTGAGAAAAAAAAAAAGAATTTCGACTGAAGATCGTGGGGAAATAAAAAACATTTGGTAACATTTCATATCTGAAAATGTTATTTGAAGTTTCCACAGTTGCATGGGCTGAGAAATTGAGGGGAAAAAAAAATCAACTTTGGTCTCATTGAGAGTCAAATAAATTTGATTTTAATCTTATATAGAAAAAATCATCAAAATTAGTCCAAACTAAAATGATTTTAATTAGTTTTAGTCCCATAGTTGAGAAACTAATGGCAATAGCCAATGTCAATGCAACGGAATTTAAATTGTCATCTTACCTGAAGAAAACACGGCCATGTTCATAAAATCCATAGGAAGACCTTTTAGAGAGATGCGAGAGGTGGCCCAATACATTTATGCCGAAAAATCTATAGATTTTGGTAGAAATGCATTAAACTCTGCTCCTCTTACGATGAAATTTCAATGTTTGTTCCGCTTGTGTGCACTGAATATCTTGATAAATATCATCGTCATCATGAATGCATATATATGCAAGCGGGAGCTTTGCTGGTTAGGGGGAGCTAAGGGTGCGTTTGTTTTGTATTTTGGTTTAAAAAAATATTTTTTATGTGAGATATAAGAAATTACGTAGATAATATGAAAATAACGAAAGTAATAAATTAATATCTTTGGGAAATGTGTTAGAAATTTGTTTGATTTTTGCTTGCCTATTTTTGTTGTTATGCTGATGTTATGACTGCCAATTCATTTTGTGAAAGGCATACGTGGCATTTTTATTTTTATTTTTTATTTTGGTTATTAATAGCCTATATAATATTTGATTGAATGAACTGACAATCAAATTTTTGTGATTATTTAGAAGTGTCTGTTAGTGTGTTTTGAATTTGATTGTTGCATTTTATCATATGAAAAAAAAAAGAAAAAAGAGTAGATTGTTTATAATTTACTTCTTTTGGCTTATAACCACGGGTTGTTAAACTGTTATATCGACATCGAAAGGGTATGGCTTGTTCAGAACATTCAGATAGCATAAACTAACCGCCACATCTATGAAGTCATTTCAGGTATCTAAAAATATCCACGTCAATAAAACTTAATATGAGTTTCTCCTTTCTCTTATCTATTTCACATCATATTCTATTTATGACGCGTCATCTGAAAAATTTATCTCATTTCATACACACATCAAAGAAGTTCATTTATAAAAATTTTGTTATATTTACTGGTTTTAATATTCTATTTTATGTTGTTATATTTGTGGATTTTAGTATTATTATTATTGTTTTTTAAATCTGATGTTTTAATTTATATTATTTTTATTTTTATTTTTTAAATTTCAATTACATATTTAGTAATTAATTATATATATATATTTTAATTATTTGTGTAATTTATTGAATAAATTATAAGATAATTACAAATATTGTCGTAAAAAATTAGCCGCGACAGCTTAATTGAAAGCATGTTAGAATTGATTTATTTCGAAAAGTTCCCCGGCTTCCTCGAGAAAGGATTCGGACTATCTTGCGATATCCGAATAATTAATGTAAAAAGAAAGGCAAAATTAAAGCTAGTAATGCAAAAAAAACAAAACAAAGAAAAACTGGAATTAATTAAAAGAAGCGGTGAAAATCCGAAAAAAAGAAAAGATAGAGAAAATTGCGGAGAAAATTTATTTGGATAATATTTTATCCCTAATTATTCTCCAACAACTTCAATCCTCTTTCAACCACTTCCGCATCTTTCTGACCGAGCTTCTTTCTCCTGTTGGGCCATCCTCAAGCCGAACCGGGTCCTTAACATTGGATCAGGGGGGTCGGCAGACCCGTTCGCTGGTTTGGGCCAGCTGGGGCCAGTCGGAAGTTGGGCCGAAAATCATCCTTCTTGAGTTGTGCTTGTACTGGCCAGTCCAATTAATTTTGTGTGTACAAATGCCCCCCATAAAATCATTTGGTCAAGAATTAACTCGTGGTTCTGATGATTTTGTCAAATATCTGGTGTTTCCATGCTTCATCGGCTTGTTCGACCCTATTTTCTGCTTCTGGAAGGTCATCGTTAATTACAACGTGATTGTACCCTCCTTCTAGCTCCCAAATCTTTTAAATGTCCTCCATTGATAAATGTCTTAAGCTCATTCCCTTCGGGCTCCATCAATCTATATATGCCATTAGATGACTTGGCCAATATGATAAACGGCCATTCCAATGTGGGGGACCACTTCCCGAGCTTCGCATCTTTGGGGCCTTCCGGAAGGATAGCCTTCCAGACCATGTTACCTTCTTGGAAGGTCTGAGGCCTCACGCGCTTTTGGAAAGTCGATTCAGCCTTCCTCTTTTAATGCCGAATGCGCTCAAGAGCCTGTAGTCTTTCTTCGGGCAATGCGTCGAGCTCCTGGAGCAAAGTCTAGTCCTGCTCTCCTCTCGGCAGCTGGTTCATCTTCAAGATCCTGAGAGAAGGCACTGTAATCTCCAACGGAAGCACAACGTCATGGCCGTAGGTCAGCCTATAAGGAGTCCCCCTGATTACGGAGGATTTGACATTCTGATATGCTCATGAAGCCTCTTCGAAAGTATCATGCCAGCCCCTTAGATTGTCTTCCAACGCTTTCTTGATAATGGAAATCAAGATTTTGTTCGTCGTCTCGGCTTGCCCGTTAGTCTGAGGGTAGTACGGAGAGGAATAGAGCAGCTAGATTCCGAATTGTGCTATAAAAGCCTTGACCTTCACGCTCATAAACACGATCCCTTGGTCAGTGACTATCTTCTTTGGAATGCCAAACTTGTGAATGATGTTATTCTTAATATAGCGTATGACATGATTATGTTGTACCTTGGCCAATAGAGCGGCTTCCGCCCACTTCGTGAAGTAGTCCGTAGCTACGAGAATGAAGGAATGCCCCTTGGAATATGGAGGATGGATATTGCCGATGATGTCCATCGCCTACCCACGGAAATGCCAAGGTTTGATAATCGAATGAAGTTCTTCTATGGTGACTCGTCGAAGTGGTCCATGGCGCTGACATGCTGGACATCCTCGAGCATAATCCAAGCAATCCTGCGAGATTTGTGGCAAAAAATAACCGTAACGGAGGATTGTCCACTTCATAGTGGTTCCAGCCCTATGGGCACCTCCAACATCTTATCCTCGTGACCCAGGCAGCGTGCTAAAGTCCCATAAGATCTCCGTCGATACAGCTTCCAATCAATTTGAGTGTATTTTAGAAGCTGATAGCGCACTGTTTTTGAAGCGACCTTCCCAGGGTCTATTAGACCTTTCAACAGTGAGGTTCGCCAAATTAAGTCCTGGTCAGTCTGCAAACATTCGTATCTTGGTTGTATTCATTTTCTTTTAAACCCGGAAGCCCATTGCGCCAAGTCATTTGCCTTTAAATTCTCTTCCCGAGGTATGTACTCCAACGTCACCTCCGTGAGCTGCTGAAGAAGGTCGTGAGTTTCTTGAAGAAGGTCCTGAAGTCGTGGTTCCTCGCACGTGAATTCTTTGAGGGCCTGCCGGATGATCAGCTGAGAATCCCTTCGAATGACAACTTTCTTGACATCCCTTGCGACCAAGAATCGAAACACTAATAACACCTCATATTCGGCTTGGTTATTCATGATACCTTGCGGAAGTTGGTGGGCGAAGCACCATAATTTTCCTTCTGGACTGGAGATCACCACGCCTGCTCTGGCTACTCCCGAGGCGCTAGAACCATCAAAAGTCACCAACCAAGGTTCCAGCCCCACGTAGTCCAAAGGAACGGTCTGAACCATCCCAGAATGTTCGACCAAGAAATTTGTGATGACCTGTCTTTTCACGATCTTAAGGGGCTGGTATGTCAAAGCAAATGATGGTAACTTTAACGCCCATTTAACTAAACAGCCTCGGAGGACTAGTCTGTTTAATAAATAGCGTAGGAGGTCGACTTTGCATATGACTTTAGTTTTAGGCACATCATTTATCCATCCCTCGAGAAAGTAACGAAAATTGATCAAAAAAATGTGGACCCAGACCAAGAATAATGGAGAAGATTGAAGCAAAATGACATGGACTCCTCAAAGACGATTACCTAACCCTTTCGAATAGGGCATTTATTGGTCCACAGACCCAAAGCCTTTGCCAAATGAAGAAAGGGACGGGAGTGAGGAAGCTCAAGCGCTGCCCGTAACTGAAGTCACTATGCAATGGAGCCTCGTAACACGCTAAGTCTCATGTCAACAGATCCCAACAACAGAAATGAGACATCCACGACAATCAAGCAAGGTCAACCAAAACCCAACAAGGAAAACAAGACATAAGACATGAGCAGACCTGCGTGTAAATGTGAAAAATGGAAAGAAAAAATAACAACCCCTGAAAGTAAGAAAATGGAAAGAATCCAATTTTTAGGAAGTATATCAACTAGGACAATACACACAATGCACTCATTACTATTTTCGTATTTTGGCATCGATTATCTATAGGGCTATCACTTTTTATCCATTTATTTTAATTTTCTATTTGTTCACTTTTAACTTCTTGAGTATTTGCGTTTATTTCGGTATTATCATAAGTCCTTAATATGGTTATAATCATCAAAATTCGAAGTCCCCTAGAGGCTCTATCGTTAAAGCCGTAAAAAATACATGATTTAATCCGACGGCAAATAGATTTTTTGGAGCACTGCTGGAACCTTTATCGCTTGATTCCGGGCGTATTCTTTATGAAATTTATGGGCCCAACACAATTTTTTTGCATCTCTGTAACGAAATTATAAAACATAAATGTAAACACAACTTTTAAGATGGTAGTACTTTAATGGTTATAATAATTGTGTGTCACTGTAATA